AGAAATAAAAGCTGAAATAAATCACTACTATTATTCTGATATTTCACATTCTTAAAATAAAGTGGTGATCCTAACTGACCTAAGACAGGGAATTTTTACTAGGATTAAATGTCAGGAATTGTGAAAAACTGAGTTTAAATGTATTTGGCTAAGGTGTATGTAAACTTCCGACTTCAACTGTATATACACACACAACAGTATGTGGACACACCTTCAAATTAGTGGATTCCGCTATTTCAGCCATACCCGTTGCTGACAGGTGTATAAAATCGAGTACATAGCCATGCAATCTCCATAGACAAACATTGGCAGTAGAATGGCCTTCCTGAAGAGCTTAGTGACTTTCAACGTGGCACCGTCATAGGATGCCACCTTTCCAACAAGTCAGTTTGTCTAATTTCTGCCCTGCTAGAGCTGACCCGGTCAACTGTAAGTGCTGTTATTGACAGTTGTGGCTGCTTCGTGTGATGTATTGTTGTCTCTACCTTCTTGCCCTTTGTGCTGTTGTCTGTGCCCAGTAATGTTTGTACCATGATGTTATTGTACAATCCAGGAGTGGAAAACTGTTAGAGACTGACCCAGAAACACTCACAGCTGTAATCGCTGCCAAAGGTGCTTCTACAAAGTATTGACTCAGGGGGATGAATATTGATGTAAATGAGATATTTCTGTATTTCATTTTCAATACATTTGCAAAGAATTCTAAAAACACGTTTTGACTTCGTCATTATGGGGGAGTGTGTGTAGATGGGGGAGGAAAAACATTGTTTTGAATTCAGGCTGGAACACAAAAATAAAAAAGTGGAATAAGTCAAGGAATACTTTCTGAAGACACCAAGTCATTACAGAACAGGGTCAAGGGCTGTGCAGAGAGTGGTGCTGTGCAGAGAGTGGTGCTGTGCAGAGAGTGGTGCTGTGCAGAGAGTGGTGCTGTCCAGAGAGTGGTGCTGTGCAGAGAGTGGTGCTGTGCAGAGAGTGGTGCTGTCCAGAGAGTGCTGCTGTCCAGAGAGTGGTGCTGTCCAGAGAGTGGTGCTGTGCAGAGAGTGGTGCTGTCCAGAGAGTGCTGCTGTCCAGAGAGTGGTGCTGTCCAGAGAGTGCTGCTGTCCAGAGAGTGCTGCTGTCCAGAGAGTGCTGCTGTCCAGAGAGTGCTGCTGTCCAGAGAGTGCTGCTGTGCAGAGAGTGCTGCTGTCCAGAGAGTGCTGCTGTGCAGAGAGTGCTGCTGTGCAGAGAGTGGTGCTGTCCAGAGAGTGGTGCTGTCCAGAGAGTGGTGCTGTCCAGAGAGTGCTGCTGTCCAGAGAGTGCTGCTGTCCAGAGAGTGCTGCTGTCCAGAGAGTGCTGCTGTCCAGAGAGTGCTGCTGTCCAGAGAGTGGTGCTGTCCAGAGAGTGGTGCTGTCCAGAGAGTGGTGCTGTCCAGAGAGTGGTGCTGTGCAGAGAGTGCTGCTGTCCAGAGAGTGCTGCTGTCCAGAGAGTGCTGCTGTGCAGAGAGTGGTGCTGTGCAGAGAGTGCTGCTGTCCAGAGAGTGCTGCTGTCCAGAGAGTGCTGCTGTCCAGAGAGTGCTGCTGTCCAGAGAGTGCTGCTGTCCAGAGAGTGCTGCTGTCCAGAGAGTGCTGCTGTCCAGAGAGTGGTGCTGTCCAGAGAGTGGTGCTGTGCAGAGAGTGCTGCTGTGCAGAGAGTGGTGCTGTCCAGAGAGTGGTGCTGTCCAGAGAGTGGTGCTGTCCAGAGAGTGGTGCTGTCCAGAGAGTGCTGCTGTGCAGGATGAAGGGACAATAGCAGATAGAGGGCCGGGACGGTGCCTCTATTCCCTATAAGATCATAAGGCTCTGGTCTAAAGTAGTGCACTATTTAGGGAACAGGGTGCCATTTGGGATGTAACCTCACCGTTCAGTACAGCGCCTCTGTAAAGCCTAGCAGTACAGACTACAGAGACTCTGTAGAAACCAGGACACCGGGTAGTAGCTAGCTACCACACTAAAATAAAGACGTCCCAATGGTCAGAGAGAGAGGCAGTGTCCTGTTGGACTGTTAGCCTGCTGGTCTGCCTGCCTGAGAGCAGTGAAACAGAACAGGACTCTGTGTTCAGACTGTGTGTTAGCCTGCTGGTCTGCCTGCCTGAGAGCAGTGAAACAGAACAGGACTCTGTGTCAGACTGTGTGTTAGCCTGCTGGTCTGCCTGCCTGAGAGCAGTGAAACAGAACAGGACTCTGTGTCAGACTGTGTGTTAGCCTGCTGGTCTGCCTGCCTGAGAGCAGTGAAACAGAACAGGACTCTGTGTTCAGACTGTGTCCTTGTCCTAACGGCTATTTAAAGATCTCTGAATGACGTCTTATTTTTCCTCATTACTCTGATGAACCTGTCATGTCACTGTTTTTACTGCTACCTGGGGTTTAATCAACTGGAGACAACATCCCATTCCCTATATTCCCTATGGATCCTGGTCTAAAGTAGTGCACTATATAGGGAATAGGGTGCCATTCTCTGGTCTAAAGTAGTGCACTATATAGGGAATAGGGTGCCATTCTCTGGTCTAAAGTAGTGCACTATATAGGGAATAGGGTGCCATTCTCTGGTCTAAAGTAGTGCACTATATAGGGAATAGGGGGGCCATTCTCTGGTCTAAAGTAGTGCACTATACAGGGAATAGGGTGCCATTCTCTGGTCTAAAGTAGTGCACTATATAGGGAATAGGGTGCCATTCTCTGGTCTAAAGTAGTGCACTATAAAGGGAATAGGGGGGCCATTCTCTGGTCTAAAGTAGTGCACTATATAGGGAATAGGGTGCCATTCTCTGGTCTAAAGTAGTGCACTATAAAGGGAATAGGGTGCCATGTGGAACATAACCCAGGACTCACTGCATGAAATGAGAAAACCAGGCTTTGATCCTGGTGTGTTTATATGAGTCATAATATGTAAGACACATTGTGGAATGCTGTCTGTATCTTTACTGAACCATCACCTCTTGGTGAACCGTTTAAACTAATATGTAAGACACATTGTGGAATGCTGTCTGTATCTTTACTGAACCATCACCTCTTGGTGAACCGTTTAAACTAATATGTAAGACACATTGTGGAATGCTGTCTGTATCTTTACTGAACCATCACCTCTTGGTGAACCGTTTAAACTGAATCAACAGAGGAATGCATTGTAATGACGGCAGGTATTTAATTCCCAATTAAGGTCTCTAGGGAGATGGTCTCTACAGCCCAGGGGTCTCTGGGGAGATGGTCTCTACAGCCCAGGGGTCTCTGGGGAGATGGTCTCTACAGCCCAGGGGTCTCTGGGGAGATGGTCTCTACAGCCCAGGGGTGTCTGGGGAGATGGTCTCCACAACGTCTGGGGAGATGGTCTCTACAGCCCAGGGGTCTCTGGGGAAGATGGTCTCTACAGCCCAGGGGTGTCTGGGGAGATGGTCTCCACAGCCCAGGGGTCTCTGGGGAGATGGTATCTACAGCCCATCTCTCCAATAATCCCCAACACAGTTGTTAGAGCCGATTTGGGCATATTTTGTATAAAAGACTGAACATACTGAGCTCCATGTACATTTGTGTAAATATATTAAATATTAATGTATATGATGAAATATTAGGTACGTACCTTTATGATTTATTTACCGGATTGAGATATATTCATTTGTTATTAGTGTAACTCAGTTTTTGGCCCCCCCTCTTGCCCATTCATTGTACTGTGTTAATTGTGTTAGTATAAAGGCAGGAAGTTGGGCCTTCGGGGGGAGGAGTCCTTGCTAGATGCGGGAGCGGTATAGTTTTTTGACCATATAGACATACAGAAATACAGACAGACAGGTCATATTATATGATGTATTTGCATTTCAAGTAATCTCTGCTTTAAGTTGATTGGAGAATACCTTTTTGTTAGATAAGAAGAATAAACATTTTTGTTGCACTATATCCCTGGATCTCATTGAATGTTTGGCCGTTTGGAAACGTTGAGTGTGGACTGTATGCGTCCGAAACAACCCCGCTTCAGGCTAGGGCAGTGGCTATGGTAAAGAGGAAAGGAAGCCACTACAACAGTAAACACAAAGCTTTGTTCAGTGTGTGTGTGTGTGTGTGTCTAGCGCAGGGTTCCCAATAGGTGGTCCGCGGTTCATTTTATCTGGACCCCTACGTTTTGAGCAAAAAATAATAATCGTCCCTGGCTGAATGTAATTGTGCATCCCTGCTTTAATATCTATGTCTGTTTGGAGCGGTCAACCTAGCACCATTGGCTGCTGGCCTGGCAGTGTTTCAACATGAATACAGCAAACAGAACAGAGGTAATGAAACCATCAGGACACACGACTATCCAGACTGCAGCTGACCCGTTACCATAACAACACAAACCATATACAACAGCAGAACTAGAACAGAACTACGGTGCCGTCGGAAAGTATTCAGACCTTGACTTTTACCCCATTTTGTTACGTTACAGCCTTATTCTAAAATGGATTAAATGGGGTTTTTCCCCCCGCAGCAATCTACACACAATACCCCATAATGACAAAGCAAAAACCGTTTTTTTGTTATTAAAAATAAGAGAAATATGGCATTTCCATAAGTATTCAGACCCTTTACTCAGTACTATGGTGAAGCAGCTGTGGGGACGACGTCGCCGATGCACTTATTAATGAAGCCGGTGACTGATGTGTTCAACTCCTCACTGGTACGTCCTGTTTTACCCTGGTCAAAAGGAGTTTACTACTTAGGGAATAGGGTGCCATTACTACTTAGGGAATAGGGTGCCATTACTACTTAGGGAATAGGGTGCCATTACTACTTAGGGAATAGGGTGCCATTACTACTTAGGGAATAGGGTGCCATTACTACTTAGGGAATAGGGTGCCATTACTACTTAGGGAATAGGGTGCCATTTGGGATGCAGATAACCCTAACCCAGACTGTGCTGTCCAATCACCTCGTTGTTAGCGCTCTCCATGAAGGATCCACCCAACACAGCAGAATAACCCTAACACTAGATGTTACTCTGTGTTTTCCACTCACCTCGTTGTTAGCGCTCTCCATGAAGGATCCACCAAACACAGCAGCCATCCAATCACAGGAGGAGATGAGCAGAGGTCTGTGAGCATTGATGGTTCCATCCTCCAACCTGAAGGTGACGTCTGAGACAGAGAGACATTATAACAACCCCCTGGATGGGACATCTGCCCCAGAGACATTATAACAACCCCCTGGATGGGACATCTGCCCCAGAGACATTATAACAACCCCCTGGATGGGACATCTGCACCAGAGACATTATAACAACCCCCTGAATGGGACATCTGCCCCAGAGACATTATAACAACCCCCTGGATGGGACATCTGCCCCAGAGACATTATAACAACCCCCTGGATGGGACATCTGCCCCAGAGACATTATAACAACCCCCTGAATGGGACATCTGCCCCAGAGACATTATAACAACCCCCTGAATGGGACATCTGCCCCAGAGACATTATAACAACCCCCTGGATGGGACATCTGCCCCAGAGACATTATAACAACCCCCTGGATGGGACATCTGCCCCAGAGACATTATAACAACCCCCTGAATGGGACGTCTGAGAAACAGAGACATTATAACAACCCCCTGAATGGGACATCTGCCCCAGAGACATTATAACAACCCCCTGAATGGGACATCTGCCCCAGAGACATTATAACAACCCCCTGAATGGGACGTCTGCCCCAGAGAAACACATTAAACACAACACAAACCCCATCCAAAATTCCAAACACATGAGATCTTACTAGTCAATACATTTAAAAAGCAACAGATTCATTCTCTCGCATCAAGCACAGAAAATAGAGCCATTGCACTTTGATCTGTGATGCAGCATGGTTTACCTGTGAAGGAGCTAAAGCATGGTTTACCTGTGAAGGTGTAAAGCATGGTTTACCTGTGAAGGTGTAAAGCATGGTTTACCTGTGAAGGCGTTAAAGCATGGTTTACCTGTGAAGGTGTAAAGCATGGTTTACCTGTGAAGGTGTAAAGCATGGTTTACCTGTGAAGGCGCTAAAGCATGGTTTACCTGTGAAGGTGTAAAGCATGGTTTACCTGTGAAGGAGCTAAAGCATGGTTTACCTGTGAAGGTGTAAAGCATGGTTTACCTGTGAAGGAGCTAAAGCATGGTTTACCTGTGAAGGTTTAAAGCATGGTTTACCTGTGAAGGTGTAAAGCATGGTTTACCTGTGAAGGCGTTAAAGCATGGTTTACCTGTGAAGGTGTAAAGCATGGTTTACCTGTGAAGGTGTAAAGCATGGTTTACCTGTGAAGGTGTAAAGCATGGTTTACCTGTGAAGGTGTAAAGCATGGTTTACCTGTGAAGGTGTTAAAGCATGGTTTACCTGTGAAGGTTTAAAGCATGGTTTACCTGTGAAGGCGTTAAAGCATGGTTTACCTGTGAAGGCGTTAAAGCATGGTTTACCTGTGAAGGTGTAAAGCATGGTTTACCTGTGAAGGTGTAAAGCATGGTTTACCTGTGAAGGTGTAAAGCATGGTTTACCTGTGAAGGTGTAAAGCATGGTTTACCTGTGAAGGTGTAAAGCATGGTTTACCTGTGAAGGTGTTAAAGCATGGTTTACCTGTGAAGGTTTAAAGCATGGTTTACCTGTGAAGGCGTTAAAGCATGGTTTACCTGTGAAGGCGTTAAAGCATGGTTTACCTGTGAAGGTGTAAAGCATGGTTTACCTGTGAAGGTGTAAAGCATGGTTTACCTGTGAAGGAGCTAAAGCATGGTTTACCTGTGAAGGCGCTAAAGCATGGTTTACCTGTGAAGGAGCTAAAGCATGGTTTACCTGTGAAGGTGTAAAGCATGGTTTACCTGTGAAGGTGTAAAGCATGGTTTACCTGTGAAGGCGTTAAAGCATGGTTTACCTGTGAAGGTGTAAAGCATGGTTTACCTGTGAAGGTGTAAAGCATGGTTTACCTGTGAAGGCGCTAAAGCATGGTTTACCTGTGAAGGTGTAAAGCATGGTTTACCTGTGGAGGAGCTAAAGCATGGTTTACCTGTGAAGGTGTAAAGCATGGTTTACCTGTGAAGGAGCTAAAGCATGGTTTACCTGTGAAGGTTTAAAGCATGGTTTACCTGTGAAGGTGTAAAGCATGGTTTACCTGTGAAGGCGTTAAAGCATGGTTTACCTGTGAAGGTGTAAAGCATGGTTTACCTGTGAAGGTGTAAAGCATGGTTTACCTGTGAAGGTGTAAAGCATGGTTTACCTGTGAAGGTGTAAAGCGTGGTTTACCTGTGAAGGTGTTAAAGCATGGTTTACCTGTGAAGGTTTAAAGCATGGTTTACCTGTGAAGGCGTTAAAGCATGGTTTACCTGTGAAGGCGTTAAAGCATGGTTTACCTGTGAAGGTGTAAAGCATGGTTAACCTGTGAAGGTGTAAAGCATGGTTTACCTGTGAAGGTGTAAAGCATGGTTTACCTGTGAAGGTGTAAAGCATGGTTTACCTGTGAAGGTGTAAAGCATGGTTTACCTGTGAAGGTGTTAAAGCATGGTTTACCTGTGAAGGTTTAAAGCATGGTTTACCTGTGAAGGCGTTAAAGCATGGTTTACCTGTGAAGGCGTTAAAGCATGGTTTACCTGTGAAGGTGTAAAGCATGGTTTACCTGTGAAGGTGTAAAGCATGGTTTACCTGTGAAGGTGTAAAGCATGGTTTACCTGTGAAGGCGTTAAAGCATGGTTTACCTGTGAAGGACCTAAAGCATGGTTTACCTGTGAAGGCGCTAAAGCATGGTTTACCTGTGAAGGTTTAAAGCATGGTTTACCTGTGAAGGTTTAAAGCATGGTTTACCTGTGAGGCGTTAAAGCATGGTTTACCTGTGAAGGTGTTCTTGTTGAGACACTCCTTGATGCGGTTGGCTTTCCTGACGTGGAAGGCCTTGGTGATCTCCTGGTTCATGAAGCCCTCACGGTTCATGATGTTTTCCACCATCATCCTCAGGTCAAACACCTCCAGGACCTCCGCTATCTGGGCGATCTTCATCAGATCCTGCTCCTCTTCATCCAGCTCCCCAGTGTAGAGGAACCTCAACACGGCGCTGAACGGACCCAGCTGGATGGAGTAGTCCATCTTCACCACCGTCATGTGGGCCGGGGAGCCCGTCACAGGGTTGGTCACGTTCTCCTTGTGGATGCTGTAGAAGGCCTTGCTCCAGGAGGCCAAGGACAGCTTGGTGCGCCGGTGCTTCCCAGAGAAGCTCATCATCTTCAGGGTGCCGTCGCTCTTAGAGGCCCGGAGGGAGCAGGGGGAGAGGTTTGGGAGCACAGCCACGTCCTCCTCTGTGTCCAGACTCAGGGTCCTGAGGAGACAGTCCCGGGCATGCCGCTCCGTCACCACCAGGCACTGGGACTCGTCACTGAAGTCCATCTGGAAAAATCAAAATCACATTTAGAACGTTTTTTTTATGTAAAAACAACATCAACAGATGTCACAAAGTGCTCTTCAGATACCAGCCTAAAACCCCAGAGAGCCAGCAATGCAGAGGCAGAAGCAAAGTGGCTAGGGGGAAAACCCCTAGAAAGGCAGGAACCTACGAAGAAACCTAGAGAGGAACCAGACAAAGACACTACCTGGAACAGGTCGTAAAACTTGGAGGAGGAGGTGGAGAGGTAGATCCTGTGGGCGAAGACGTGGATGTGGTCCTGAAGGATGAACATGACATCAGCACACAGAGGACTGTCCAATAGGAGGCCAGGACCCTCCCTGTTGTTGATGACACACTCTGGAATCTTGATGAGAGGGGGCGGTGCTTTGGGCGGCAGGAAGGGCGCCTGTAGGAGGGGCTTCTGGACCTTCCGGAGGTGGGATTTCCAGAACTGCAGGTGTCGGCGGGAGATGAGCGCGGCTCGAATGGCGTTGTCGAAGACGTCCTTGATGCCAAACTGGTCGAACACACTGGTCTCATAGTAGGAGATGCCCAGCTCCTTAGCCACCTCCCGGCCACTCTCTGGAGGAAGGATGTCTCCGGGCTTTATAGGCCTGGTGGGGACGAAATAAGAGCTATTCTCAATACACAAGAATACAAAGTCATTATTTATTGAAAAGTATGTCAACCTAGGTTTGATTCATAGAATAAAATGTCAGTTGAAACTATGTACAGTAACTACTAACACAAACATGTATAGATCTAGTCAATGAAAAGCAGCCACATGATGATGTAATGCTGATTCTACTCTATACCTGGCGAGTGGCCTCCTGGCCCGGTTCACAGCCTCCAGGTCAGCATAGCGCAGGTCCAGCTGACAGCCCACCAGGATGACAGGCGTCCTGGGACAGAAGTGCTTGATCTCCATGTGCCACATGGTCTTGACATGATGCAGAGAGTTGGGGTTGGCAATGGAGAAACACAGCACCACCACATCAGACCTGGAGAGAACAGAGACAGCAGATAGAGACAGACAGACACATCAGATAGAGACAGACAGACACATCAGATAGAGACAGACAGACAGACAGACATCAGATAGAGACAGACAGACACATCAGATATCAGAGACAGACAGACACATCAGATAGAGACAGACAGACACACATCAGATAGAGACAGACAGACACATCAGATAGAGACAGACAGACACACATCAGATAGAGACAGACAGACACATCAGATAGAGACAGACAGACACACATCAGATAGAGACAGACAGACACATCAGATAACACAGACAGACACATCAGATAGAGACAGACAGACAGACATCAGATAGAAGACAGACAGACACATCAGATAGAGACAGACAGACACATCAGATAGAGACAGACAGACACATCAGATAGAGACGAACGACATCAGATAGAGACAGACAGACACATCAGATAGAGACAGACAGACACATCAGATAGAGACAGACAGACACATCAGATAGAGACAGAACAGACACATCAGATAGAGACGACAGACACATCAGATAGAGACAGACAGACACATCAGATAGAGACAGACAGACACATCAGATAGAGACAGAAAACAATCAGATGAGACAGAGATCATAGACAGAACATCAGATAGAGACAGAGACTAGAACAGACATCAGACCAGAGAAGACAGAAGAACACATCAGATAGAGACAGACAGAGCACTCAGATAGAGACAGAAGACACATCAGATAGAGACAGACAGACAACATCAATAGAGACAGACAGACACATCAGATAGAGACAGACAGACAGACCATCAGATAGAAGACAGACAGACGACACATCAGATAGAGACAGAAAGACACATCATAGAGACAGACAGACATCAATAGACAGAAGAAGACAGACACATCAGATAGAGACAGAAGACACATCAGATAGAGACAGAAGACACATCAGATAAAACAGACAGACAGACAATCAGATAGAGACAGAAGACACACATCAGATAGAGACACTCAGACAGACGAAGACACATCAGATACGAGACAGAACAGACAGACACATCAGATAGAGACAGACAGACACATCAGATAGAGACAGACAGACACATCAGATAGAGACAGAAAGACACATCAGATAGAGACAGACAGACACATCAGATAGAGACAGACAGACACATCAGATAGAAACAGACAGACACATCAGATAGAGGACAGACAGAACACATCAGATAGAGACAGACAGACGACACAGAGAGACAGAAAGACACATCAGATAGAGACCGACAGACACACAGATCGAGGACAGGACAGGACAGACATCAGATAGAGACAGAAAGACAAATCAGATGAGACAGACAGACACATCAGATAGAGACAGAAAGACAGACATCAGATAGAGACAGAAAGACAACATCAGATAGAGAACAGACCAGGAACATCAGATAGAGACAGACAGACATCAGATAGAGACAAGAAAGAACATCAGATAGAGACAGACAGACACATCAGATAGAGACAGAAAGACACATCGATAGAGACAGAAAGGACACATCAGATAGAGACAGACAGAGACATCAGATAGAACAGGACAGGGACACATCAGATAGAGACAGAAAAGACAAATCAGATAGAGACAGAAAAGACCACATCAGATAGAGACTAGAGACAGACAGACACATCAGATAGAGACAGAAGACACATCAGATAGAGACAGACAACAATCGATAGACAAAGACACATCAGATAGAGACAGAACAGACACATCAGATAGAGACGAGAACATCAGAGAACAGAGACACATCAGATAGAGACAACATGACACACTCAGATAGAGACAGACAGACACATCAGATAGAGACAGACAGACACATCAGATAGAGACAGACAGACACATCAGATAGAGACAGAAAGACACATCAGATAGAGACAGACAGACACATCAGATAGAGACAGACAGACACATCAGATAGAGACAGACAGACACATCAGATAGAGACAGACAGACACATCAGATAGAGACAGACACCATCAGATAGAGACAGACAGACACATCAGATAGAGACAGACGACACATAGATAGACAGACAGACACATCAATAGAAGAACATGAACAGAAGCACATCAGATAAGACAGAAGACACATCAGATAGAGACAGAAACACACAGAGAACAGAAGACACATCAGATAGAGACAGAAAGACACATCAGATAGAGACAGAAAGACACATCAGATAGAGACAGAAAGACACATCAGATAGAGACAGAAAGACACATCAGATAGAGACAGAAAGACACACATCAGATAGAGACAGAAAGACACACATCAGATAGAGACAGAAAGACACACATCAGATAGAGACAGAAAGACACATCAGATAGAGACAGAAAGACACATCAGATAGAGACAGAAAGACACATCAGATAGAGACAGAAAGACACACATCAGATATCAGAGACAGAAAGACACATCAGATAGAGACAGAAAGACACATCAGATATCAGAGACAGAAAGACACATCAGATAGAGACAGAAAGACACATCAGATATCAGAGACAGAAAGACACATCAGATATCAGAGACAGAAAGACATCAGATATCAGAGACAGAAATACACATCAGATAGAGACAAATAGAAAACCCTAGTCATTGGCGACTCCATTATCCACAATATTAGACTTAAGCAGAATCCTCCAGCGATCATACACTGTTTACCAGGAGGCAGGGCTACCGACGTAAAGGCTAATCTGAAGATGGTGCTGGCTGAGACTAAAACTGGTGAGTGTAGATAGTATAGGGATATTGTTATCCACGTCAGCACCAACGATGTTAGGATGAAACAGTCAGAGGTCACCAAGAGCAACATAGCTTCAGCATGTCAATCAGCTAGAAAGATGTGTCGGCATTGAGTAATTGTCTCTGGCCCCTCCCAGTTAGGGGGAGGAGTGATGAGCTCTACAGCAGTAATTGTCTCTGGCCCCTCCCAGTTAGGGGGAGGAGTGATGAGCTCTACAGCAGTAATTGTCTCTGGCCCCTCCCAGTTAGGGGGGGAGTGATGAGCTCTACAGCAGTAATTGTCTCTGGCCCCTCCCAGTTAGGGGGAGGAGTGATGAGCTCTACAGCAGTAATTGTCTCTGGCCCCTCCCAGTTAGGGGGGGAGTGATGAGCTCTACAGCAGTAATTGTCTCTGGCCCCTCCCAGTTAGGGGGAGGAGTGATGAGCTCTACAGCAGTAATTGTCTCTGGCCCCTCCCAGTTAGGGGGAGGAGTGATGAGCTCTACAGCAGTAATTGTCTCTGGCCCCTCCCAGTTAGGGGGAGGAGTGATGAGCTCTACAGCAGTAATTGTCTCTGGCCCCTCCCAGTTAGGGGGGGAGTGATGAGCTCTACAGCAGTAATTGTCTCTGGCCCCTCCCAGTTAGGGGGAGGAGTGATGAGCTCTACAACAGAGTCTCACAACTCAATCGCTGGTTGAAAACTGTTTTCTGCCTCCCAAAAGATAGAATTTGTACATAATTGGCCCTCTTGTTAGGACTCACCCACAAACAGGACCAAGCCTGGCCTGCTGAGGAGTGACGGACCCATCCTAGCTGGAGGGGTGTTACAGGACCAAGCCTGGCCTGCTGAGGAGTGATGGACTCCATCCTAGCTGGAGGGGTGTTACAGGACCAAGCCTGGCCTGCTGAGGAGTGATGGACTCCATCCTAGCTGGAGGGGTACTACAGGACCAAGCCTGGCCTGCTGAGGAGTGACGGACTCCATCCTAGCTGGAGGGGTGCTACAGGACCAAGCCTGGCCTGCTGAGGAGTGACGGACCCATCCTAGCTGGAGGGGTGTTACAGGACCAAGCCTGGCCTGCTGAGGGGTGACGGACTCCATCCTAGATGGAGGGGTGCTACAGGACCAAGCCTGGCCTGCTAAGGAGTGATGGACCCATCCTAGATGGAGGGGTGCTACAGGACCAAGCCTGGCCTGCTGAGGAGTGATGGACCCATCCTAGATGGAGGGGTTCTACAGGACCAAGCCTGGCCTGCTGAGGAGTGATGGACCCATCCTAGATGGAGGGGTGCTACAGGACCAAGCCTGGCCTGCTGAGGAGTGATGGACCCATCCTAGATGGAGGGGTGCTACAGGACCAAGCCTGGCCTGCTGAGGAGTGATGGACTCCATCCTAGATGGAGGGGTGCTACAGGACCAAGCCTGGCCTGCTGAGGAGTGATGGACTCCACTCTGACAAGACAACAGCACTAGATCAAACAGAACACTACTGGAGGTCATTAGCAGTCCGACTGGAAATGCAGAAAGAGGAGTTATGAGAATCTATGTGACTTCCAGTGTTTCTCATGGCCAAGGCCTGCATTCAGATCCTACTGTAGTCATGGCCAAGGCCTGCATTAAGATCCTACTGTAGTCATGGCCAAGGCCTGCATTAAGATTCTACTGTAGTCATGGCCAAGGCCTGCATTAAGATCCTACTGTAGTCATGGCCAAGGCCTGCATTAAGATCCTACTGTAGTCATGGCCAAGGCCTGCATTAAGATCCTACTGTAGTCATGGCCAAGGCCTGCATTAAGATCCTACTGTAGTCATGGCCAAGGCCTGCATTAATATCCTACTGTAGTCATGGCCGAGGCCTGCATTCAGATCATACTGTAGTCATGGCCAAGGCCTGCATTAATATCCTACTGTAGTCATGGCCGAGGCCTGCATTAAGATCCTACTGTAGTCATGGCCGAGGCCTGCATTAAGATCTTACTGTAGTCATGGCCAAGGCCTGCATTCAGATCCTACTGTAGTCATGGCCAAGGCCTGCATTCAGATCCTACTGTAGTCATGGCCGAGGCCTGCATTAAGATCCTACTGTAGTCATGGCCGAGGCCTGCATTAAGATCCTACTGTAGTCATGGCCAAGGCCTGCATTCAGATCCTACTGTAGTCATGGCC